ATATATATATATATATATATATATATATATATATATATATATATATATATATATTACTTGAAATAACTGCCAGTAAAAAACGTCATCTATCAGTCATTTCGTGTGACTAATATTTTGCATTTATTTTATAATTATACATGTTTTGCATTTATTTTATAATTATTTTAGATGTTCCAAAATTATTAGTAAATTCACTGTAGTAATAAACTGCTTTTTTTGAACTTTATTTTATATACAAAACAGAAAATGAAGTTGAACACACAGTTATGGTAATAAAGTACGTCATTTTTTTGAGCTAATTTATTTTTTAAAATACATTAACGCGCTAAATTTGAATCAGCCAGATTTTTATGATTTATCTTAAAACATTAGAATTACAAGTTATTTATTAGTTTAAATTTATATTTTAGTATTTATTCAATTTTTTGTTCAATGATTTTTAAATTTCAATAAGTATTTTAGCTTTTAAAATATCTATTAAGTTTATTTTTACATAAATTTTAATGTAATGTTTAAATGCTTATAGAAAATAGTTTTTTTTAATAAGCTAAAACTAAAAATTAGGTATAATATATTAGGTAAATATTAAAAAGAAAAAAACTAAAATTAGTTTATATATATATTTGGTTATACTTTTTTTAATGAATTGAAAACTCATTAAAAAAACATTCTTCAATGCCAATGTCAAATACTCAAAGTTTTTTAAAGTGCAGAATATTCAACTTAAAGACAATGTTGCAGCAACAGAATATATTTAATATGGAGCAAAATTACCCTATAGCTTTTTATCTAAGAATGTGAAAATAAATAAAGTAAATTCAACAATATTTTTGGATTTCAAGATATCTAAGAAAATGAAACTTGGTAGAATTAAAAAAAAGAATCACTTGTTCGAAATTGTATTACCTCTACATTTGCCCTAGAATCTGTTTTAAGTGAACTTAGCCATGCTTACTGTTCTATGTTCTGCATTTCAATAAATGCTTCAAATTATAGAAATGAAAAAATGTTTTTTTTTTTTTTTAAATGCTTTCTATTTATTTTCCTATTTCCCGTTTTATTTAGTTTAAATGACAAATAGTCATTCACTGATTCTCTTATTAATTTTTAAGAGCAATGGGGGAAGTCAGATGAAGAAATTTGCAAAATAGTAAATCATTAGTATAATGTTGATTTAAATTTAAACTACTTGATATCATTTTTGGTCAGTAATGCTAAATTTATTTTGTTATGTTGAACTTTCAGTAAACACTAAGCTTTATGAATTTAACCTGAAGCTGTTAAAAGCTAATTGGAATATGTTATGTTCTTAAAAACGATGTCATTTGACGTGGAAACACTGGTATTAAAAGTATACATCAAATTTTCCTCAAGCACAAAGAATGTCAAAAACTAAAAGGTTGCTTTATTTCTTGGATCAGACCTGTTATGATGCTTATAAGAATGTGTCCACTATATAAAACTGGCAAGCAGTTAATTTATATTTTAAATCAAGGAATGGAAGAATGTGATCTCACAATTTTGAAATATGTGCAAGAGGAGGAAGAATGTCACCTCACAATTTGGAAATATGTGCAAGAGGAGGAAGAATGTCACCTCACAGTTTGGAAATATGTGCAAAAGGAGGAAGAATGTCACCTCACAGTTTAGAAATATGTGTATGAGGAGGAAGAATGTCACCTCACGGTTTGGAAATATGTGCAAGAGGAGGAAATATGTGCAAGAGGATATTTTCCAAAAGTATGTACCAGTTTTTAAGGAAAAAGTTATGACAGCAATAATAAATATAAGATAAAATTTTCAAAAAATTACAAAACAATATTAAAAAAAAAAAGAATATTATTTTTATGGAATTATAGTAAAACATTGATTAGTGAAACTGTCTGTTACAGATAAAACACCATTTAAAAATGAAGAAAACACTATATATGAGAGTGTTGACATTTAAAAACTAAAAATAAATGTTAGGGTTTTTAAGTATTTTTTAAGTACTTTTCAAGTCAGGTCGGTTATTCTGCTACTGATAAAATGTAACCCAGTACAATCTGTTTCGTTTCCTGCAGCCAGTAGGATACACTTTTTTAAGCGAAAACCAGGAGATGCCTACTCTGACTTAACACCCCCCCTGGGGCTCTTGGTTGAGTAAAGGCTAGAGATGGTATATCAATAAAAATACTCATCTTTGGCAAAAGTTAAATGCTTCTGGTTACTTTCTTGTAGAAGGGGTAAACAGATTCTATCTGTTGCCCAGCCTCACACTCCTTCTTCATCTATTAGGCTGGGGCAAGTGTATTTTTAATACATTGTTTCCAGTTTAGGATGTTGAATGCTGGATCTTCTTGACTCAATGCATGGGTTTTGCTTGTGTCTCTGGGTTTTGCTTAAGTTTATGATTAGGCAACTCATTCTATTATCTCTTAATGAGGGTACAGCTCTAAAACTCAGTTTTATGGTTCTCAGTTTGTCAGGTAGTCATGTTTCCTAAACTCTTTGGTAGCTCTTAGTCAGGCTGATTCCATCTACAGCTGTATCAGAGTACTAACAGTGTCATTTTGCGCACGGAAGGTGTTGCTGTTTGTACTTTTGGTGTGCATTGTCTAGGCCACATTTGGAGTCTTTTTTATGGCTTAAGGTTTATTAATAGCCTATTAAATCGTGTAATGAGTACTATCTGTGCTTTGAGTCAAGTTCTTTAACAAATTTCAAAATGAATTAAGTATCAAAAACTATAAAATACGAAAAACCATCATCATCACCAAGTTCACTAAATATATCATTCGCTGATTGAGTCTTAAACGTTACAAGAGATAAGACTCAACTTCTGTTGAGTCTTATCTCTTGTAACGTTCACCAGACCTACTTGCTCTTTTTGAGACTAATTTAAGTTCAGCTGTCTCATCTTGTGATCTTAATGTTGATGGTATCTTCTTTTAGTTCATAAAGACTTCAATAGTCACATGCTTGGACTGGGCATTTACATTCATAAGAATTCCCTTATTGTCAGGAAACTAGGTTTGAATCCACAGACTATTCATTGAAGTGCTATTGTTTACCACCACTTCACTCTATCGTCTTTCTCTTTTTTCTGTGTTATTCTCCTTCATCTCAAGACTGCACTCTTTTTGATGTTATTTCTGATCAAATTGACCATGCTCTTTCTATTTATCAATCAGCCAGTTTTGTTGTTGGTGGTGACTTTAATGCTCATCCCACTGAATGGCTTGGATCAAGTGTCTGTGGCTCTGCAGGTGTTAGGCTCCACAACTTTTGCCTTTCTCAATCTCTAACACAAATAGTCAACTTTTCAACTTGCTTTCCAAACAATCCGAATCGATTATTTTCTCTACTCGACTTATGTCTTGTTTCTGATCCTGGTCAGGTCTCAGTTTCTCCATATTCACCTTTAGGTGCTTCTGATCATGTTTTGATCTCTCTAAAACTATCATCTCATTCTTTTTCACCATCATTTTTTCATCATGTTTCTAATCAGTGCTCAGATTCTCCACATTCACTGGTTGAGATTCTCCACTTTCGCCTTAGGTGCTTCTGATCACAGTTTGATCTCTCTAAAACTTTTATCTCATTCTTCTTCATCATTAGAATCCCCTTATTATTGTACCTCTTACAATTACGATAAGCTGACTGGGACTCTTTGTATGATTTTTTTCGTGATAGCTCTTGGGTAGAAATCTTTGTCTTCCTGCTGACATGTGCTCATATGTAACTTCTTGGATTCAGGTTGGCATGAAATCTTTTATTCCTCTCAACAATTCCAAGTCAAGCCTCACTCTTCTTTATGGTTCCCTCTCATTGTGTTGCTGCAATTTCTAATTTTAACCATTACTTCCATATCTATCAGCAAAACAATTCTTCAGAAAAGAAAACAGACATCTTTTTATTATTGCTCAAAACTATTGTAAAAAGGTTTTGTCTAAAGCTCACTATTCTCAGGTTACAAAATCTCGTTTTTTGTTTTCTCTAGAAACCTTTAGAGAATATTTAATAATATCTAAGATATTATTAATGTTTAGATATAATTATATATATATAATAATTATAAGATTAATAATTATTGCTCTATCTATTTTTCCTCCTCTCTTGTATGGTTTAGATTTTGTTACCTCACCTAAAGACAAAGCTGATTTGTTTACTAAGAACTTTTCATCAATCTCATCTCTTGATTCCACTAATCACATTTACCTGATATAGCCAACAATAAGGTTGATCCATTGCTTGACATTCTTATCACTCAAGCTTCTGTATCTAAAGTGATTTCCTGCTTAGACTCTTCTACAGCTTGTAGTCTTGACAATATACCTGTTATAGTCTTGCAGAAGTGTTTTCTAAAATTGTTGTCTATACTCTCAAAAACTATTTAACAAGTGCTTATCAGAATCTTGTTTTTCAGCCTGCTGGAAAGCAGCATCTGTTATCCTAATTTTCAAAATTTCTGGGGAGTGATCTGACTTGTATAACTACCGTCCCATTAGTCTTCTATCATAACAAGGTTTTTGAGTCTTTAATAACAAACTCTTAATCTCTCATCTTGAATTTAATAACTTTCTTTTCTGATCATCAATATGGATTTTGATTTTCTTGTTCTACTGCTGATTTGTTAATGGTAATAATTGATAGGTTTTATCACAGGTTAACCATTTTCGACAGGTTCTCCATGTACGTTAAACTTAGCAAAGAATAACAAAAAATATTTTAAAATGAGATAATTGCACAAAATTGATGATAAATGCAATAAATTTCAAAAACAGCTAGAAGTAATGCAAAATAAAAGATAAATAAAAAGATATAAAAGATGAATAAAAACCTTTAAAGATAAATAATAAAATTTTTTTAATATTTAATATAAGTAAAATAATTCTTTGATGTATAAATATATTATGTCCATATGAATATTAAATGCAATATTAATAGTGATAAATTCTTACAATATTTAAATCTTTTTTTTTTTTTTTTCAATACTTTAAAATTATTTTAAATGTTAGGTTCTAGATTATACGATAATTGGTTGTGATCATGACACTATTGAAAATTGCTTTTGTGTTGATCCAATCGATTTTGTTGCTGAAGAAACTGTTAAAATTGGTGATGATATATTTATATTCCAACACCCTAAAGGTGAAGCTAAGAAATTTAGTTATGAAAAAATAATCAATGTTGACCCACCATTTATCTACTACAATGCAGACACAGATATTGGTTCTTCAGGTAGTGTTGTTTTACGAAAACTTAAACTAATTGCTATTCACTCTAAAGGTAGCGATGCTCTGCAATACAATAAAGGGACATTGTGCAGTGAAATATTGAACCATCTAAACCATGGCGTTTGTAAGTTGTTTTGAAATAATGATGAAATGATTTTAGTGATGATGCTTAAAATTTTATTACTGATTTACTTTTTTTTCAGATACTAATCCAAAATCATTAACTGAATCAGCTGATGGAAAAAGAAAAAATGAAATTTGTATGTGATAAATAACTATAATTTTTTGTTGTCTTATATATGAGTATAAATAAAGGTATAAATATAAATAAATATATTAATAACAATAAATATAATCAAGTGAATTAGTATTTGATTGCTATTTAATATTGTTTAATATATTTAATAGTGATTGTTAAATTTAATATTATTTGTTAAATTAATATTAAATTTAAGCTTCCTTCATTTTGCTTTCCTGATTCATATAATTTGCAATCTTTTAAGTCATCTGTCAATCGTTATCTTGCTCTACAATCTTCATCTTTTTTCTTCCAGTAACTTCCAAGTGGTTGCTTGCAGCCTTGTTGGAAGCGAAGATGTTAAAAAAAAAATAATAATAATTTAATAGTGATTATTAAATATATTTAATAGTGATTATTAAATATATTTAATAGTGATTATTAAATATATTTAATAGTGATTATTAAATATATTTAATAGTGATTATTAAATATATTTAATAGTGATTATTAAATATATTTAATAGTGATTATTAAATATATTTAATAGTGATTATTAAATATATTTAATAGTGATTATTAAATATATTTAATAGTGATTATTAAATATATTTAATAGTGATTATTAAATATATTTAATAGTGATTATTAAATATATTTAATAATGATTGTTAAATTTTATAGTGATTATTAAATATATTTAATAGTGATTGTTAAATATATTTAATAGTGATTGTTAAATATATTAACTTTTACTAAAAATTCCCTGAGTTAAAGGTAAAAAAATGTTGTTTTAACATTTTCATTTTCAACAGTAAGTTACTTTTAATGACATTTTACATTAAATGATAATTGTGAAGAAACTATGTTTATGAATATCTTATTAGTAACTGATAGCAACTGTCTATAAATTGCTAATAATTGTTATCAAAATCACTTATAAACAATTGCCTCTCTCAGATTAAAACAAAAAACCAAAAACTAAATTGTATCAAAGCAAACAAATAAATAAAGAAATATAATCTTTTTCAAATAATGATTTTATTGTTTAAATGTTTTTAAATGTTGTTTGAAATTAAAATTAATTACAATCGGGTACTTTAAAATATGCTAATAATGCATTTTAACAATGGCTGAATACTATTGCTGCCATTGTGAGGTCTTTATATTTTTATTTTATGTTTAAAAATAATAAGTTTAAATCCTTTAACTTGAAGTTTTATGATTTGTTATCGTTCTCCAGAATACAGATTTTTAATGTGGCATAAAATATTTTGCATATTTTAATTGTATTGAAAACATTTAAATGTAAGAAATTAGGGAATTAATTTGAAGACCAGAAAAAAATAATTTTGGGTAATTATAATTGTCGTAAATAATTATATATTGTTGAAACTTATAATATGTATAAGTTTTAAAATTTTAATAAAGTTAATAAAAAAATAAACATTTGAAAAAACATTTCTACTCATTAGATAAAGTGCTAAAGACTAGATAAAGATAATCCTCATATATCATATAACTGATGATGTATGAATGTATGACATGAGGCAGGGTTTGTTCTCCATAGGTGAAATTTTTTTTTTAATTTTATATTTGTTATAATTAAAAAATATTTAATATTTAATAATTAGTGTTCATACATCAACTGATATATAAGTGTTCAGTCTTCTCCATTTAATGTTCAGTCTTTAATGCTGCCAGCGCACAAAAAACCGCTGGTTGTATAGTCAGTATAAAAATGTTTTTATTTAAGTTCTAAACAAAAAATAAAATCTTTAATTTCTAAATGAAAAATAATAAAAATTAAAGTACCAAAAAAAAAAAAAAGTTCTTAATTCTAGATAAAATAATTTAAAAAATGTGAAGCACCTGCACCATTTAAATTCTAAACAAAAAAATAAAAATAAAAATGGCAACTAAAAAAAAAAGTTTTTAATATTAAATAAAATAGTTAAAATAAAAATAGCAAAATGAGCATTTTATATAATTATTAAAATAACTCAAATAAAAATGACAAAATACATGTTTTATTCAAGTTTTCATGGTTATCATGGACCTTATAAAGCCAACCTAGTTGACCCAAGAACGCCACTTATATGAAAAGATAGTATACACATCAAGGTACCCTTTGATGCAAATTTTGAAACCTTTTAATTTTGAATTCAGAAAAAAATCAATTTTAATGTTCAAGTTATTTAATTTAAATATTCTGATTGAATGAAATTTGGACTTCATAGTACGTCAATAAAACTCCTGTAGAATGAGAACCACTATATATAATTTGATAAAAATTGGTGCAAATGTAGCCTATGGCCACACCAAACTATCAATATATATATATATATATATATATATATATATATATATATATATATATATATATATATATCAACAAGGTATAAACTACTGTCAAAATGCCACTTTTGTACATCATCAGTATCTTTGTCAGTCCTTTGAGTGAGAGGTTGTTGTTGTGGTGGTGAACTGGTTTCATACCTTAAATCAGTATTGACAATGGTTAGACAAATCTTAAGAAAACCTTTGCCACCATCAATACCTAGCTTAACCAAATAGCCACAAGAAAATTTGCAAGATTGAATAACATGGTTCAAAATATTTTATAAATCATTTTAGTGGGCAACTCAAAGTGTACCAGAATCTTCTTTTCCCTCTGTGATTTTTAAATCACTGGAAGTGATTTAAAAATCACAGAGGGAAAAGAAGATTTAATCTGTTATTTGACAGGTCCGTATTTATTTCTACATTTACAAGGGCTAAAGTGTTCAATTTTCTAGCACTTGATGGAGGCTGGGGATTACTTTGACCTTAAACCAAAACATATTTTATAACTATAATAAACTTTTCAAATTATTTGTCTTTAAAGATATTAGAAACAAAAATGTCTGAAATTTATCTCATTTCCTAATAAGTCAAGATTTTTTTTAAAATATAATATAATATATAATATTATAATAATATAATTTCGTAATAAATATCTTAAAATTGTTTAAGTATAAATGTCTAATCTGTAAAGATTAGTTTTCCTTGGACTAACTCTCCAAACTTTTTAGCAGTTATTTTAGTTATCTAATTTTTTTATTTCTCACAGTTTTTCTGTTTTAAGAAAAAAAAAAATTATTTTCTATGTAGGTATCCCTAGAAAATTTGATCATCCATTTTTTAGCATTTTCATGCATTTTCACAGTAGTTTATACCTTAAAGAATGCTGAGATTTTTACACTATATATAAGCCAAGTCGAACTCCATTTTAAATAGTAGATGAAAATGGTACTTGTGCCAAGAAAACAATTATAATAAAAATTGTTTGTATTACATAATAGAACACTCATATTACCTTTTTTTTGAAAATAGTCACATCAAAGTAATTGATAGCTTTTTGAGGTATAAGTAGCAAAAAACTAACAAAATTTTAACTAAAACTGCCATAAATCTTTATCCAAACAAATTATTTTATCCAGAGTTTGGTATGGTCATAGGCAACATTTCCGGTTTTTATCAAATTATATTGAGTGGTTCTCATTCTCATCATATTATATTGAGTGGTTCATTCTCATCGCATTATATTGAGTGGTTCTCTTTCTCATCAAATTATATTGAGTGGTTCTCATTCTCATCACATTATATTGAGTGGTTCTCATTCTCACATATTATATTGAGTGGTTCTAATTCTCATCACATCATATTGAAAGGTTCTCATTCTCATCAAATTATATTAAGTGGTTCTACTGTGTTTTTATTGGTACACTATAAAGTCAAAATTTCACTCAATTTGAACATTCAAATTAAATTTTTTTTTCAGCTGACAAAATTAAAAAATTTAATTTATTTTAGTTAAAATATTTTTTTAATTCAATAAAATAAAAAAAGATTTAAAGTTAGAATTATATTAAAATAGAATCGCATTGCTCAATTGCTTAATGTCAAAGTCGACATTAAAAAGACTGATTTTTCTATATGATTTGTCCCTATGTGAATATATCTATGTAATGCAAGCATACATGTTTATATCCTTGCATGTTGGTTGTTCATGTATGCATATATATGCATATATATGTATAAGGCTTTACTTTCACTTTTTACTTTTTACATCACTTTTTACTTTTTACAACACTTTTTACTTTTTACAACACTTTTTACTTTTTACATCACTTTTTACTTTTTACATCACTTTTTCAGTTATATTTATAATATATTTATATGTTGATCAGTATTTGCGTGTTTATGTTTACTTCCACAATTCATTTTTTAGATGTTTACCTACCACAATTCATTTTTTCATTTCTTTGCTTTTAAATATTGCTGCTTTGTAACTATCTTTTTTTTTTTTGTATATAAAAAATCTTTAATGTTTTTGAATGATACACATCTCTTCACATTCAGATTTTTTATACCATTCAAATCTCTCTGTGTATTTTCTAAGTAAGGCGTACACACATGCATGCATGTTTCAATTATGCCATGCCTTCTACATATTTTTTACATAGTCCTTATTTTTTCATATTACCTTTCTATTTTGGTACTTTTTTTTTTATCGCTCATTTTTTAGCACTTTGTAATTTTGGATACCTGCTGCTTTTTAACAGTCAGCTCTGTGCGCTTAGTTCTACCCACCCCCTCCCTTTCGGTCCACTATATTATTGGTGAAATATACTTAAACAAATATTAATAATAAGTCTTTGCTTGAATTTTGTGCTTTTATATTTGGCATCTGTCTAACTCTTACTCTAGTATAGTAATTCTTTTCTCCATTTTCTTTGAGGCTCCTACGGCTGTATGTGTTCCATTAAAGTAACTGGTTTACGAGTCTGGTTATGAATAATAAATGTTAATGTAACAATTATATGTATTGCAAAAAATCTTTTGAAATACTAAATTTAATAACAACCACTCTAAAGAAACAAAAATAAACAGTTCACAAGTTATTTAAATCTTTTTTTTTTTATTTAAATTTACTTTAATTTCCTATTTTGTGTCTCCTGGGAAGGCTTGAAACAGGCA